CACTTCACGAGATATAGTCTGTTAACAACCACAAGGCAAACAATTAGAAAGACAATTATATCCAGACTTCCAAAGGACTTGGCTATGGGTAGAGGATGAAACGTGTGTTAGAAAAAAAGGTGCAGTTCTATTGAGCAATTAAAAGGATCTACTGTTAGCCTTGATGATTAATGTCCCCCTCTACCACAAAAAAATGACAAAAAGATGGAAAAAAGAAATTTCATTATTGAACCGTTGGTGCTATTTACTTATTCACTGTTTCATATGAAGGGAAAAATGCGTTGCTTTCTACTATAGAAGGATCATGGAAATTGCATTTCAGAGTTTCCACTATGAAACAATTAAATGGTGGCGCATAGTGTCACAAGCATAACAAAAAATGCAAATACAACATGAAATTGTCAGTTAATGTAGCAGAAGAAATGCTGACGCCACCTAGTGGGACAAGGCTTAGCAATTGTTGCTGTAAGTAGCAGAGAACATATTATTTTGCATGAAAAAGTATTATGGCCCGAACAAAACTGCACTGACCTGGTAATACAGATAGGCTGCATAAAACAAGATCAAGAGCGGCATTATGGCCCAAAGAGAGATTGTGCTCACAATTCCTATAAGCACAAAGGTCGAAAGTAGCTGGCAGACTTGGCCCATAAACATATTTACAAATCGGGCGATATTGCGATCAATGTCGCCTAGATCCTTGGCAAACCTGTTGATTATTCTTCCCATTGGGTTGGTGTGAAAGAAAAGCATTGGAGCTCCTAATATAGACTGAAGCATAGAATCATGCAATCCTTTTGCCGCATGAAGACTCGAAACAATTAACCAATAAGCATTAGTCAATGTCACGGTCACCTGATTCACAGAAACACGGGAGTCGTCACCCTTCAGTTGACATATACCCACATCCACCAAAGACTCTAAAATACAGAAATGTAGAAATATAGCAAAGCTAGCAAATAGTCTGTTTCATGGTATGATAACTCAGATTCTCTCTGAAAATACAACACTGTTTCTGCACTATAAACAAGAAGTTGTGAGCCAAACTCAAGCACTAAGAGCTAATGTGGTAATGTGGCTTTCCCACTTCATCAAGAATCAAAAAGAAATTATAGAAGCGCAAGCTACTGCCTAAAAGATAGCAACATTCGAGAAACTGAATAGGAGATCTATCTGCTGACTTGACATACCTGACCAAAGGACAGGAGTGTGTAGATTAATATGTAGAATCCTGGTCTGTAGTTCTCCGAAGTGCTTTGATGTGTCCAGAAACTCAACCACGTGCTACTTGAAATTCGAAGAACTTCAGTTAAAATATAGCATATAAAGAGTATTGCCACCACCCATAGGCCTCCCAGTGCCCCTTTGTACCTAAAAATACGAAAAAGGAAATCAGATCATATGCATGTCACAGACAAGTAGCATTATTGCTATGTAATTCAATATGGTCCAGATTTATGAGTCCTAACAGAAATGGACGGAAAATAGCATTTTACAAAACAAAACAGAGTGTTCGGGTTTTCAATATAAAGGAATTGGCGAATGCATGGACCTTAGGTGTTTATAAGCATTTAGTCATATGCGTGAAACATAGTTATTGTTAGAATAATTAAATATTAAACTACGCCTTCATCTAACAGCTTATGCTTTTAGAACAGTTGGCAGTGGTCCCATAAAATCTCACATGGTATCAAAGCAGGAAGTCTTGAGTTCAAATCTTACCAGGCCCCATTTGCCTCCCCAATTAAATATGTCCACGCTTAGTACTGGGCAAAAAGACCAAACTAAGTGTAAGGGGGAGTGTTAGAATAATTAAATATTAAACCACGCCTTCATCTAACAGCTTAAGCTTTTAGAACAATTGGTAATGGTCCCACAAAATCTCACATGCCTTCATCTAACAGCTTAAGCTTTTAGAACAGTAGGCAGTGGTCCCACAAAATCTCACAGTTATCACGTGGGAGAAACCTAAGCATTGCAGAAAAAGCTACCTAGAGACCTTTCGAGTGATGTCACGTGATGCTGAGCAAGAAATGTTGCACAAAATTACACTACATCAATATTGCCTCCATACTGTCTTGAACTTTCTGTTCAATATATCACATTATGTTTGATGTCATTTAATTGGCTTATTTGAACCCTAATTCCATTGTAGAGTTCAAGAATGTCTTTAGTTCATTAATTTCTCATCGATAAATAAGCCTATTTCGTAAATAATCTGTCCATACAACAGGTGTTAGAAGATGAAGCTATATCATGCATTTTGGTACCTCATCAAGACTTTCCAACTCACGATGCCTGTTTCCCGTTCCTCTTGCTTAATAAGTACCGTCTTCCCTCCTTTACCTTTGTTCCCATGACCTTGATCTTTTGGCAATTCGTTAACAATGCTGTTAGCTGATGGTTTGGATGTTTTCTCCTCTACATTTTTCTTCTCCCCCTCCTCATCCTCTTCTGTTTGTTCCTCCATTTTTCCTGCATTCGCCATAAGTTTCTGGAACAGTTCCCCGCTTCTAGAGAGCTCCTCAAAAGTTCCCTCCTCTTTGACCATTCCTTCATGAATCAAAATGATCCGATCCACTTGAGGAAGAAAATGTAGTTGGTTGGTGACAAGAACCCGGGTCTTTTCTCGCAGCTCTTCCTTGATACAGCTATTGAACACCTGTAGTTGACTGTGGATTAGTATAAGCTAATACAGGAATTGGCCTCATTTTTGAAAATTCAGAAAAGAGATCCTACTGAATGGAAGATCTATAAGTATGAAACTAAAGCTCACTTCAGAGTTTGAAGTGAGCAGTTCCAGGTTCCATGGAACCTGCCCGTTGAAACAGGTTCCTCATTTTTTGGAACCTAGAATCTACCCTGCATACCTTGGAACCTACCTGTCAGAGGTTCTAGGATCAGTTACAAGGTTTACCCAGGTTCCACTTGTATGATTAATTGAACGATTGCAATAAATCATCACCTTTAATGATCACAATTTGCTGTTACAATCCACTGACCACGACTTATATTTAGACACATGAAGAAAATGAATCATCAACAAAGTAAAAGTCTCAGTCATAAAATGGAAGCTCAGACTAGTGGTTCTAGATTATAAACTAATTATCGAATCCCATGGAATACCACAGGATCGCACGAAGCAATAGACTTAAAAAAATACAAAAACTTGTTTCAGGTTCGAGGTTCCACCTACCTAGAACCTGGAACTCACCCGTCAAAACAGGTTCTCCAATTTTTGGAACCAGGAACCTACCCTGCATATCCTGGAACAGACAGGTTCTCACCGGTTCGGTTTTCAGGTTCCAGGTTCTACCCTGGAACCATGCTCACCCCTACTTTAGACATGGAGAGCACTCAAGCCTAGGCTCCGATACCCCATGTTACTAAAAAAATAAAAGAAGCTAGTGAAACAAAGACAATAATAGAAATACCCAAATTTTAAGTTAAGAAGTCCCAAATCAGAAATGCTTAAGAGTATTGAAAGTACAAGATGTTACTTCGATTATCCAAAGATTGATTGCAGCAAAGGGCAGGACAGTAGGATCAAAATTCATATCCTCGTTTAACTGAAGCATTTGAGCATGCTTCGCACATAAAGCTTTCCAAGTATACAGGTAATTGTTGAAACCATATAACATCAATAACTACAACTGTGGTGATAAAAAGTGACAAATTCTGTCTCATGAGTTTCATACCTGTCGACCAACATGAGCATCTAGAGCACTTAAAGGGTCATCAAATATGTAAACATCTGAATTTGAGTAAACAGCCCTGGCCATGGAAACCCTCTGCTTTTGGCCTCCGCTTATATTAACCCCTCTTTCACCAATCTCTGTAAGATCGTGACCCTGAGGAATAAATGAAACAGATAATTAATGGATCACATCCCGTGTTAAAAGAGATTCTTGCAAAGCGCTGAGTTCCACTTAACTGGAAGCAAATCAAGATCATGCTCCAATTGAGTAACACTGACTGCCTTCCAATATCTTTCCGCTTCAAAGTTGGACCCAAATAATATGTTGTCACGGACCTGATATCACACACTAGGGATTAGGACACGAGATAAATTGACGATAAGGTGCCCAACATCGACAGAAAAATAAAAACAGCACTGTGCAACTTACAGTGGCATTGAAAATCCACGGCACTTGAGGGACATAAGCAACGGTTCCCCGTATAGTAACGCATGAGTTGGAGACAGGAGAGAGTTCCCCGAGCATTGCCGATATGAGAGATGTCTTTCCTTGTCCAGTACCACCAACAATAGCAACTAAGCTACCCAGTGGTACTTCCAGATTGATGTTCGACAGGGTGGGTTTTTCTGCCTGAAGTTAGCTGAAAATTTAGCCTCCACTTGAAATAAGATGTTGCAACAAAAGACTGGAAACCACCATAAATGACCATTTAGTTAGGCTGAATCATCGAATATCAGTTAGAAGTCACAGCTATGTAAACTCGAACCTTCAAAATGGTGGTAGAAGAGACGCATTCGCCTGGAGAAATTATGTTCTCCTCTGAATTTTGAGTTCAGTTGTTTTCCTCAGACATTTAGCAAGAGTAAATTTACCCTAAAAAATTACACTTAGAAATTAGCACAAGTTTCCTTACAAGATGGTCACCTTTATAGAAGTTGTGAGAGCACTCCTCACTTAACTAAATGCTTAAGTTGTTTAATGAATGTGAGGTTTAAATTTTGATTATGGCATTAACCAACTTCGGGGATCATATAAAAAATTTCATATGCCCCTATCCTTCAAACGCATCAGTGATTGTTACTGTTTATAAATGCATTTCGATGTTGCTACAACCCTTAAAACCTAGGCAATTTAGACATACTAAAGTCAATAGTTTATACACATCGAGAGAAGTTAGGTAAGTGATTTTGCCAGAAAAAATGACGCATATGTTTATATGACCTTTGAGTCCCATGAAAAGTGCCCATCCTTGATTAAAATCGCCGGCTCTCCTGGCTCAATCGGTGGATTTGGAACTAATACTCTCTCTTCTGTTAAAAATAGTTCCTCCAAACGTTGCAGGGAAATATTCGCAGAAACAACCTGGGACACAAAAGTAAGATTGGAAACTAAAAGATGACGAACAAATGTTTGCAAGCACAGTTATGATAAAATTGCGTGAGAAAGCAAAGGTAAAAACCGTACGAAGCACAAAACAGAAACTCTGACTCCTACTTTCTAAATATTGTAAAAGCTGTGTAATGAAGAGATAATCTGTTACAGATTTAGTTATCACAACATTGTTTAGCCTTCAATTCAATTATCACATTGATGTAACGGGTTTAACCTTCAACTTATTAAATTTCTGTTGTTTATTCTATTTCAACAACTAGACAATCACTTCAGGTTAAACGAAAATGTAGTATATGAGAAATGCTCGTCAAATTTCCACCAATATGATAATTTACTACAGTTCACCTTTGATATTCTATTTTGTTTATCTTGCAGTTTTATATTGTCAATGTGCATGATCACCATTATAAATGAACATAACCGTAGTTAGTGAAGTTCCGAAGATAGAAAGAACCTGAGACATCAAGCTAGGGAGCATGTCCAAAGGAAACCATAGCACTGCAAAAAGAGAAAGTGACGTAAACGCCCTCGCTGGTGTCAAATCCCCACCAAGCAAAGTGAATGTCCCAAATGAGACAACGGTTACGATGACAGGGATGCTGTTCAGAACAAAGCTGTTGAACTGCCACCAAAATTGAACTCTCAGACAAAAAGAAAACCATCTAGCATTATGGAAGGAGAAAATGTCATGTCCATTAGCTCTCATGCGCGCCTGACAAAAGGGGTCTAAATCCATTCGTCTACTGCTACTTGAGAAACAAATGGAGACTATTTTCATTGCACTGTAATAAGTCTGCTGATGCGAAAACAGCCAGTATAAGTCTATGACTACTCAGCTTACATGCAATGGGGAACAGAGTTCAGACCAGATGGATAATTTTAAACAGTAAACCAACCATCTTTCTCGACTTTACACTAACTTATTCTCATGATGTATGAAAAGAAATAGAGAATTTGAATTGCTTCAACAGGAGTACCTATGAAAGAATTACAACTGCTGTCTGCTTGGCAAGTTTACCACAGACAGAAATTCAAGGCAGTTTGCTCCATAGATAGAGTGTTTTCACAATTCTTTTTTAGCACAAGCAATATCATGCCACTGAGGTTTTTTAATCTCTCTCTCTCTCTCTCTCTCTCTCTCTCTCTCTCTCTCTGTGCACGTGCGCATGTGGGTATGTGGATGTGCATGTTGTACATGCGTACATATATATTTTATACTGATATAGAAATGTATACTGGGGGAAGCAAGAATTGTCCAACTGTCAGTACAGATGATACTTCCACGATCAGAAAGCATAAGATTATCTCAATTTTGATATAATCCATACCGCAGATATTAGTTGCGCCCTACGGAACCATGAAAGCTCATCACTTCGTACTTCTTGAACTCTACATTGGAAGCTCTTTTCCCAAGCATAACATCTGCAAGAATTCTTTTGATGAATTTGAGTCACTATAAAGCGAACCAAGCCATAGAAAATGTAGGCCAGGGCTTGTCGCTTAGTCAACATACTTCACAGTGTCCATTGCCGCCAAAATTTCGTTCATAAGGCTGACTCTCTTGTCAGTCCACTGCAGCCCTTCCTTGGTCAGTTTTTGCATTTTGCTGATTATGATCGTCTAATTCACCATGAAAATATTAGAACATATAAGACAATTGATTGACAGAAAGCAAATCAGTGATCATGATATAAACTATAATCCATGAGCTGAGAGTGACGATGTGGCATGGAAAACCTCATTTAGCTAACCACATATCGCATAATATAGAGATTGTGAATCTGGGAATTTGTTAATGAGCAATAAGCAGAGTAGGCAGAGATCACTAATTTTAACTCATGGAACTCTTTACTTGTTAGACCATTTCTTTGGTCACAATGACCATAAGAAATAATTGCTTTCATATGTTAAGCAACCAAATTCGGCTTTCCTAGAGCATCTGCTGTAGCACAAAGTGCCACACCAACATGATATTGTTGTATTAACAATACTACTGATACAACCATGCTATGTAGAAGTTTCGAAGGATAAACAACCTATACCTACCTAGATCAGAATGCCCCTTATAAAAATTAAAGTTAAAGAGAAGTTGGACCCCCAAATCAGCACAAATATTAACCTAACCTATATATGATTTAACTATAATTGGTAAATAATTAAAATAATCATGGACAAATAGGTATTACTGATGCTATAGAGAGGGTAACTTTCGAGGGAAAGAGAGAGCATAAGGTTACTTGCAAGGGGATCATGAGGACAAGCATGAGAGATCCAAGCAGCGAAGCAACGCCTAATTGCTGGTACAAAAGAACCATGGCAACAACAATACGAAACGGGGCCGACCATAAGTTGTGAAGTTGTCGGCATATTTGCTGAACAATACCAGGTGTCATGTCAGATGTAGTTCATAGAATGCAAAGTCAGAAGAGCGGAACATATGTACTGGGGAAGATGTAACCATAGACTTAACTAAATCACTTTGCAGCAATAAGAGAACTATGGTAGCAATGTCATAGACATGTCTGAGGTGAGACATCTCACCTCAAGTGTGTTAGCATCTGTGGTTATCATGTTTGTTATCTTTCCAGATTGAAACTTCTTGCGACCCTCGTGAGTAAGTCTCAAGGATTTGTGGAAAATGGCTGCCACCTACCAATAGGTTGAATAAGCTATGTTAATTGCTCTACTATGACAAATGATGAAGAACGACCAAGACTGAGCATCTGATACTGAGGATTTGTAAACATCTGGTAGAGTTTTTACCAAAGTTGACCTCAGCCTAAATCCTGTCCGAAATGAATTTTGCAAGTACTGGGCTTCGCAAAGCACACCGAACGACTGTACAGAGTTCAATCAGAAGTCAATAACATATCCAAAAACAGTAATTTTCACATATCTAATTGATGAAAGGACATAATCATGGAATAAGAACCCCATGCCAGAGGCACCAACAATTATAAGTAATGCAGAGAATGTTGGTATATGCAATAAACTTGAGTTACCATTTACAAAGGTGATAATGATATTTACTTCACATTGCACTATAAAAATTTAACAGTGTCTCCTAACATAAATCACAAACTTGACACAAAACAAAGAAAGGATCATACCACACTGACAAGAATAAACGAGGCACAGATGTAACCAATCCATGCAGGGTCCCCTCTTTGCATTGACTGCATGTTGAAAAGAAAGACGCATTAGGAAAAAAAAAGTCCGTTCCTGGAAAAGTAACCTGCATCTAACATAATCCACTGTGATGTTGAATGAAATACAAAAGTAAAAGGTCAGTCTATGAGCAGAATATTCTTCTCCATGGAAGACAGGGCAATTGAGAATTCAAGATAATGTACCCATAGAACAGAACAGATACGATTCTTATTGAACCGATCATAGTTCGTTCCTATAGTCACTAAACCATTTCTGTTCATTTGTTGTCCTGCGTATAGTGGAGCAGATTCTCTGTCACGACAATACAAGGAGCACACTGAAATAATTACTAGAAAATCACATTTTACCCTAAGATAAACATGTTAACTCTGTTTCTGCCTGGGTCTCCCTTCCCTGTCAACAATTCTTCAAGTTTTCCATCCAAAGTTGGTCTTTCGAACAATATTCTAATCATTTCAAGAGGAAGGTTCCATGGAAACAATTTTCCACTATGAAGCACATGTTTCTAGAAGACAAAAATTCACAATTCTTGGATTTCATAAAAATCTTAAGAACAGAGTCCAGCATTGATTGTAAAATTGATGCCTACACATTTATCTGAGAGAGAGAGACAGAGACAGAGAAAGAGTAGGAACAACTTACTTGAAGGAGGTAGTTCAGCAATGTGGGCCCTGCAAACTCGGAAAGATCGCTCCCAATCTGTAGTTATTCATGTTAGAAAGAGTTACTAAAGCTTCCAATGAGCATTGCATATCGAAGCGAACAGTATGCTCTTGAAGGATCATTATTATAGTGATCGCTCAAGCTTGATCACGAGACAAAGCCTCAGAGACTGTCCTTTAGATACTGCTTTTCTTCTTTCAGATTCATGAGCTTCTAAGGTTCTGCTCAACCAAACTTAATGTAACGGGGCATGCATAGTATATGGCCATCATTATCCTACTAGGAAAGGAGATGACATGTGATTGAGCATCCATTCACCACATCTAAGGTATCTGAACATTTTGGAATGAGTCTGGCGATCAATGAGACCTTGAAGGGTAATTATGATACCTTAAAGAAGCCTCCCAACCAAAACCTGAAGCAAAGCATTCAAGTAAAATGAGATGGGGAACATTCAAACAATGAGGACGCTTACGAAGAACACCATACAGATGTCAGTGCACTGTCAAATCAAAATTGGAATACAATGGGACATAAGATTCAATTCAGCTGATACATACCTTCCCCCAAGGCTGCTGTTCAAAGCTCTTAAAAGCCATGGTTTGGGCCTTTGGGACTCTTTGGCCCAGCATTTCTTGAATCTGGAAAATAATATACAATTGCAATGCTTTAGGAATGTATCTGAATACACAAAAATGTTGGGAATACTACTAAAGAAATTGACTGACGCGAACCTTTTAATCAGCGTCTCAGTCTGATCCCAAGAGTCTAATTTCCAAACATCCTTTTCAGTAATTGGTCTTTTGTAGCCTTGCTGCATAAGTGGAGACACCCACCCAAAGTATATCCCTTATAGAGAGAGAGAGAGAGAGAGAGAGCTAGTTAATTAACGATGAAGCAATAAGCAGTTAATTAATAGAATGCTAACCAAAATCCAACGTCCCATTTCACTAGACCCTCAAAGAAATGTCTCATCTCACTTTTATTTTCAGGCTTGCTTCAGGGAGGAAGAGATATGTGAAAACAGGGAACCAACGAATGCCACCATCAGAAACCAAGCAAAAAAAAAAAAAGCAAATTGGACTCATTAAGCAGACAGAATCTGACAATTTCAATTTATAAGCTAATTATCAGTGCTTATTAGAGAACGGCAAGCAGTTCTTTGACATGTCAATGCATGAAGACTAGCTGAATTAGTCTGGTCATATGAAAAAACAAGCAGAACCGTTGATAAGAAAAATGAAGTTCGAGTATTACTCACTGGAAAATAGGTTGACATGCCTTTCAGGACAAGCTTGCTCCTCTCCCGGAAGAGCCTCGTATTCAACACTACCAAGAGGCTCGGTGTGGATCGTAGTATACCCTGGATAAGGGTCCAGATTCGGAACATAGACAAAAAGAAGAATCCCAAATATAACCTACATCAAAGAAAGCACAAAAAGAAGAAGATTTATTCAGGATTCTTTAGATCAAAGTAACCAATGACATAAATAAATCTCACTAATTGACAAAATAAGTGATTAATTGATGAATCCCATCAGGAGCTGTCTGTTCAAAGGCTAGCAAAGCTATAAACAGATGAGTCAGGAGTAACGGTTTATTGAAAGAGACATAACCTGGCAAAAAAACCATGCTGATGTAGAGATATAGTGCAGACCTGCACAAGTAAAAGAAGATGGATATTGGGTCCTTCCTGGAACACACTGAATATGGATCTTAAACTCTTCAACAATGTGATGCATTAAAACAGAATAACCTGCTTCCAATAGGTTTTTAAGTCCCCAAGGGAGATTTCCAATTCTAGTATCTGATTGTGTAAGGCAACTAAACCAACAGCCTATTTAACCTGACACGTTTCAAATATATCCTCTGTGATGATTTAGCGATGACATAATTTTCAGTAAAGCAGTGCGGCTACCAAGGAGGAAAAATGCACACTCTAAAGTATTTTGACAATAGAAAAGTTAATTCTGTCAATTATTTTCCATCAATCTGCATAGTTCAAGAGAGAGAGAGCATCTAATAACATCACTATATTTCTCTACTTGCATTCAAGTGTATCATTAGGAGAATATGAGATGTACAAATTCTGAAGTATTAACAGTTATGTTAAATGTCTGCTGAACAATAAAAACTAACCTATGATGCTGATAGTGGTCTCTCATTGAGAGGATGAGATTGAGCATCACAGCTTGCCCCACCAGAACATAAATGAGTCCAAACTTCACGTACCACTTGAACTCCCGGATGTAAGCGTGCATTTCTAGGCCAATCATAACTA